CACCCACCCACACCCACACCCACACCCACCAGTTTTTATCTGTTCAGTTAGTTTGTTCCTTCTAAAGTAATCGAATGCAAGAGAAACTAATATCATATCGATTTGACCGCGTAATTGTCGCGTATTAATTCAAAGTAGTAATACTACATCATGTAAAATACCAAGAAGATCTCTGAAATCAAAAATGAGAATAATAGTTTTTAAGTTACAAATAAAATCATTTTAAATACTTACGCACTAAACGTTTCATTTCGTGTTCCATTAACTAATGATAAAGCGTCATTCCATCATGTTAATATAGTATCTTCAGTTGAATTTTGTACAAGACATTGAAAAATTATATTTATACTCATTCACCATCGATTTATAGTGTGACGATTGATATCCTAAAAACAAAATTTTAAATTACAGAAAAATTTCATAAATTAAAAAAAAACGAACATTTCTATTTGCTAATGTTACAAATAGATGAATGGATCGTAATGCAAATGATGATACAACATCAACTAGTTTTAATTATATGAAATAAATGTCCAAAAGTGATTGACCCTATTTGAAAAAAAAGTAACGTAAAATCAGAGATTATTAAAAGAAAAATAACCTTAGATAAACCAATAGTAACATGTGATTATAAATGAACAAGTACATTGAATGTTTGTTGTGAAAGACATTTCCATTAATCATTTCGAATACTATCAACAATAATTGTTAACAATTGCAAAGCCTATAACAAAATAAATTTTATTATTGTTTTTTTTTCAGTACATACACATGACATAAAAAGATTGAAGATTACTGTCTCTAAATCTTGTCGAACTCTTGACATCAACAAGATGATTATTTTCAGATCATGGATTCATTGAATTGTGGGTGTGAGTTTTACAGCTACACACCCACATCCTTGTACTTTAATAACTTGTTTTGAATGCAGTGTATCATGTGATAACATAACAAGAAATTCAGCAATACAATAAATAAAATGTGATAATACATAATAATCTGCTGTAATTTCTTCAATCATTTGAAGTTGATTGATTATATGAGTAAGAAAATGCTCCTTTAAAAATAAACTTAACGATTAGAAATACAACGAACTTCATCAGCATCTAATTAACTATAATTAACACGAATTAAAAATAATTGAACAAGTAAATCGAGTACAGCAATTTGAAAATCACTTTCATTTGTATTAACATATTTTTTAAGACTAATTTTTTAGCTCAATAAAAACTAAAATAGAAAACAAAAACAAAAACAAACAGAATAGATTAAATTCGGTTTTTTTATTTATTTTACTCTCGTATTGCACTATTTTCTATGGATTGATCACTATTTATGCTTGATGCATAACGTGAACCAAATAAAATAAATTATCGATTGTCGAATACTTATTGTATGAATATAAGTTAAAGAATTATTTAATGATACTTGTGAAGAAACATTTGAAGATTTAATAAAAACTAAATTAAAAGAATATTTTTAAATGAATGTTGTGTTAACAGAAAAAATGATTTTCAAATTTCGAATTGATAGTGTGTCTTGCAGATCCCTCACGTAAACTAGATGATTTAATATTCGAATTTCGAGATAGAACCGAATCAAAAGATCTGACACTTTCACAACAAAACTACTCTCGTTAAGATCATCGATATTCGTAAAATCAGTTTTTCTGTTATCTATATTGAAATTTTCCTTACCTAGGAAAGACCCTTTCAGAAACCTTAATTATAAGATTTCCATCTAAAGTTTTATCCATAGACAAGTTTCAGACACAATACAACATCCTAAAGGTTTTAGCTTAAACAATAAATAAAGAAGATTAATAATTGAAATTTTCTTTACAATAAATATTTACTATTTAAAAGAAGTTACCTTTTGCGTACATTGAATGTTGATTTAAAATAATTAAGTGTTTCTCTTCCAAATTTTTTTGATAAATCTTGTGTAGAAATAAGACTTAAAACTGATTTCATAGACAATAATGATCATTTCTGATGAATTTAATAAACTTTTATGTATTTGATAAGATGAACATATTAATTCGAATAATTTCCAAAAGTACCTAATTGTGTACGATTAACTTTTTTATCATTGTCTGCGCTTGATGTTGTTGATGAATCTTTATTATTCTCTTTAAAAAGAAAAACAAATGAATTCGTTCAGACGAAACATGATCACATATATTCTTCAAATCTAACACTTTGGAACTCCTTTCTTCTGTGAAAACTGAAATATTAACTATAGGAAATTATCTTCTACCAAAAAAAATGATAATTGTGCATATTTTTGCAATAGTTCGAGAACGGTAATAAAATAGTTCAATTTTCGAATTACTTGAATCATTTATGCTACTTTCAAAACATTTTTTCATTTGTTGAGATTTGATAAATCTTCAAATAAAAAGAAAGAATTCAAAGAAAAACATTATAAATATCTTTTTTTTCTCTTTACTTGAAAAGATTAAATTCTTAAGATCATGTCATATAAAGGGATGTTAAAAAAAATTATAAATAAACGAAGTTGATCATATTGATTATGAAAAAATTGGTCGAATTGTTGTTGGTCTTAAAACATCTGAAAGGACATAAATATCTTCTAAACATCCAACCTATATAAAAGACAAAAATAACAAACAATTTGTATTCGAGTTGATGCTTAAACGTGTAATGAATGATGAATTTTATATATCCATTGACATGGTAAAAATGAATTGTGATCAATAAAACCTTAAAATCGAAAAAGTAGCTAATAACTAACTTAATGTAATAAAATCGACTTATCCAAATTCGAAAAAAGCTACGTAGTTATTATCTCTACAAAATACATACTTAACAAAAGTCGAAGCAATTGCTTGACGAACACGTATATCAGGGTACTGTTGTTTTAATTGTTGTTCAAGATAAGTTAATATTCGAAAATCAATATCATCCATAAGTTGAGCTAGAGCAAACTATTTTATATACATACAAAAAAAAAATTATTATAATCATAAATTTCTTGTATCTACTTCAGCAAGAATACAGGAACTTGTAGTATGTTGAATAGAATCTTCTAATAATTTAATTCCTATGATTGTAAATGCATGACTATTAATTAATAAAAAAAGGTAATAATGTTCGTAAAGCATTTAATAAAACATGTATAACACGTGCATTATTATCATTAAGACATATAATCTTGAACTATCTTGTGAATCAGTTGATACAAGTGAACATTGATTAATAAAAGAATTATTAAATGAATTTGATAATGATGATAGTGTTAAAAGATGAATTGTTGTTGGAATTAATGTAGCAAGAAAATTTGCACATGCACCACGTAAATATAGATCACCGTGCTCACATAAAGATAAAAGATATGTAATATCTTAAAGAAAAAAAAAAGATACCTTGATGTTCAATAAATTTTAATGTATTTCAAGTCATATAGAGATGAGAATTTCATTTTTCTCATTAGGAAATTTCATATCAATTACAAAACTATATTTAATCAGAAATCTTCAAAGACTAAAGAAAAACTCCTTAGAGGATACAATTGATTTCATATCTCGAACTTCGGCTTAGAACTATTTTTTGAAGTAATTGTGTGATTGTATGATTTCAATCTCTGATGTATAAATGCAGGCTTTAAGCTTCAATAAAGTGTTCTACTTGATATCTTTTCGAGTCTGATAATGTTCTAGTCTTTTGTTGGTTTCAAAAAAATTAAAAGTAGAAATAGGACTAGAGCTGCTGAATCAATATCGAGAAATCTCCTTTCTTGAATTTTCAGATTCCAATATATATATATATGTTTCAACAATTTAATAGTGAAATTGTCATATCTATCAGATAACTTTCACTAAAACTTTGAGACCTTAACCAATTGAAGCCACGTCAACTAAACTCTGCCACAATCCCCTTCATCTAGGCCCTCCTACTGTTACGACATTAGAAATAATTTTGGATTATAAAAAAAAGTCAAACAAGAATTAAACATACTTTCAGTAAGATAAACAAATGGATCAAATTGTTTATAAATACGATAGACATATTGGTATAGCACATTTAACACTAATACATGATTCATCATCCCTTTTTATCGTACCATCCATATTAAGTATATATCTAATCGGAAAAAAATATAATTGATTAACAAGTTTAGCAGCTGATGTTCGTTTTTCATTATTAATCATTGATGTTGAATCGAATTCATCATTCATTTCAATAAATCAACGTTGACATGTTGAATAAGCTATTGTTTTAGAAAAAAAAACACAAATAAAAAAAAATTCCTTTTTTTTCTCAATATTTACCTGTTTGTAATGTTTGACTAACACAAGTTTTTTTCTATAGGTCCAATTTGAATTGAAATTAATAATTGATCAAAATCAAATAAATCTGAATAACCAAGTAATTGAATAATTTTTTTTTATTAAATCAAGATAATCAATTATTAAATGTGTATTAGCATTTTGATTTTGATGTTCAAGTAATTGATCTATTAATATAAAAGACAATTATAATGAATTGAAATTATTATTTGAAAGAAAATCTATCAATTACATTTGTCATTAGAAAACGTGCCATAACCATGGGATAACATATTTGCCGAATAGGGCATGAGATGTTCCTAAGAATAATTTAGTCATTGATTATATATTTCAAAAGAAAATTATTTATTGTTAATATTAGGAAAAGAAAAATTCATTCTCACTCGACTTCATACTTTAACTATAACGATAGCCAGTGAACTCCTATGACTAAACCATTCTTAAATTGCATGAAACTCTACGCTCGATTATTTTCGAGGGCAGATCGCTTCAAATGATAGACAGTTTCTCAGTTCGTATTTCGTCAAATAGTATCAGACTGCCTATTCTACATTTTCTGAGAAATATCCTCTCCTGCTAGAAATTTTAACCGAAACATAGTAGAGCAATTCTTTTCTGTTTCTATTCAACCGTATGACATTTTTCTGATTACTTCTTTAAAAAAATTTGTCTTAGATGACAAAGATTTTTGTTTTAATTACTTTAATTTCTTTATCATTAATCGGTCGACCAACACTACGAAAAATAAGTTCATAATATTCTGATAAAATGGTTGAATCTTTTTCGGATGTATTACATTTGCGAATTCAGCAAATCACCACAGAACACCTAATCGAAATTAAAAAAAAAAATCCTTATTATAAATTTAAGTTAAATATTAGAAATAACCTTTTAAAGCATTTGGTCCAACATTAGGATTATGTTTTATAATTCGATGTAATTCAACTTGAATTCTTGTTAAAACTGCTTCTTTTAAATTCTATTTTATAATTCATACAAAATTATACAGAAAAAAAATTTCTTTTATAATACTTTAACAAATTTATTAAGACTTTCTTCGGCAGTCAATCATACATTATAATCATTTTCGTCACATGTTGTAAATAATGTTTCCACACTAGCTTTAACTAATTTAAAATAATTTTCATTGTTACCTCTAAATGAGAAGAACATTCGAGGAGAGATGAAAACCAGAAAAATCAAATTTTACTTGATTATTAATGTTTCTGATTTTGTTGTTGAAAGTAACCTTAAAACTTCATGTGATTTACTTAGTCTATCCATTTTGTTTAATTTATATTCAATTCATTTATTTTAAAATCAAATAGATAAATGACTAAGTTTAAACATTATTTGATAATCATAATGAATGAATGAATAGTCGACTGAAAAAGACTAACATCGATTGAATATTCGTAAACACCGTTGACATTTCTGTTCTTTTTATTAATGGATGGCGCTAGATTACAGCTTTATAAAATAAGACTGTATAAAGTGAAAACCTCATCATCAACCAAAATTCTTATAACTAAAATATAGTCTTTGCTACACGTTCAATATGGATATGTTTCGATCTTGTAAATACTTAAAGTAAATCTAAAGACATTATTTTGCGCTGGCGTGGGCGGGTGTGGGTCCAAGTACTTCATTTATTGACATCCTCCCATCTAGAACCACGCTCTCTGCCATAGTCACCGTCATGACTTGGTTTAATATTTTATTTCTTACATTTTTGTCTCATTTTTTTTGTCTTATTATTGTATATTATTAATAAGAAAAGTATCTGATGAAAAATAAAATAATGACGTATGATGTCTTTATTTATTTAATGAAAACGAAAATCTTTTTTCTTTCTATGGTGTAACGTTTGTTACTATGACAGACATGTTTTTGCTGCAGACACATGTCAAATCAAATTTCGTATTGATTTCTTTTTTTTTCTGTAGTGAAAATTCTATTCAGATTGGCGTACTTGTTCATAAGTAAATAATGAATGAACACTTTTGTACATATTTGGCCAAAATCTGTAATGATCCTCATAGTTATGGTGTATTTATTCTCTACTCGATGGTGTTGATGAAAGTCGACAAACAAATGCATAAAGAAATTAATAGTAATGATAATATTACAAGTAAAAAACAAAAATATTTCCTCTTTGCTTATTTTGTTTGTTTTTAATCATAACTTATCATATTATTCCAAAATTAATTCTTTAACGAATGAAAAATTCTAATAAAGAATCTATTGACATATCAAAATATTTAATTGAAAGTATATCGACTGTGTCATAAATTAAATTCATCGAATATGATCTCAAAAGACTTATGTGATATTAAATGTTGCTGTTATTCAGTCATATCGTAATTAGATTTCCTCGTTCATCTCTACAGCATAATAATATATTTAGCAAAAATTTAAGTAGGAAAAAACGCAATCCAATTCTTCAATCTGTATTGAATCGATTTGAAAAAGATTTGATGTGGAAATCAACTAAAAACTCATTGTAATTTCATGCTTTCAAACATATAATACTAATATATATATATACTTGTCTTTAATTTTTCTAGAATTGATTTATACCTGTGTACTTTGGGTGTGGATTTGCCTATGGCTGTGGTTTCTTCTTCTTCAATCAACCACACTCCATCTTATGAGATTTTTTTATTTGAACTATTGAATATCTAATGAAGTTCATGATTATTTTACTCATGAGGAAAGTTCTAATAACAACAAAATTGATTTTTGAACTTTGACTTGACGTCTTGCCGTAGAGACAGATTTTAGCAAGAGTCATTTATCATCAAAATTTCAAGAACGAACATCAGATCTATCAATTTGTACGAATGATGTAAAAGCCAAACTATTACTATACCTACATCTTTTAAGAGAAAATTAGCAACAAATTTTAAAACATTGGCAAAAAATCTATTTCGGAAAACGAAACTCAGAGTATGCACATTACATAATCCTATTAGTCACGAATGAAAATCGATTCATCAGTTCGAAGATTTCAAAAATATCTAAAGCATAGAAATTTTATCTTGAGGTACATTTCATGGTCATATATGATTTATGGATCAAATTAATAACACAATAAAGAAACTTTTTTTGGGAATGGTACAAAAGTCGAAGTCAATATTTTGTTTATTA